AACTCAATATAATATGAAAATTAAATTTGTATGAATTATAATAAATGAACTAAATTCTAAATTTTGATATAGTATAAAAACTTTTAGCATGATTTGAAAAAATAAAGGAAAAAGACCACAAGTGCTTTATATATGTATATATATATATATATGTTTAATCGTATACTATAATTTCTTTTTCTAGGTATCTTCCTTTCAATTTCCACCTCTCTAGAGTAATCAATTAGTTGGTTCGATTGAAAATATCAGTGATCAAAGTAATCAACTTTCATTCAACAAGTAATCAAATTGATAAAAAATTTTAAATAACCGATCATAACCAAATTGATTAAAATTGGTTTGGTTTGGTTAATTTGATTAAATAACGAAACTTTTTATAATTTTTCTTCCTTTTATGATCAATTATTTAACTACAAATTCGATTCAATAAAAGTCAAACTCAAATATCATTAAAACTATTTCGATAGATAAAAATACTCATGTCAACTTTTTTACTACTACTTCTTAAAAAGTTAATTAATTCAATCGATTCATTTATCAATTTTAATAACAAAAAATTGATCGATTTAACAAATTTAACTGATCTAAAAAATTAATTATAACCAAAACTAAATAGATCAAATCAAATTAATTTTTTTTATCAATTTCAATCGATTAAATCAATTAATTTTTACTCATTCCTACACCTCTTTCAATGTTTTTCCTTGTTCTTTATTAATGTGGCCAATTTAGTATAATCTATTGCATGTCAATCTAACCTTGCACAACCTCAACAATAATCATTAAAAAGTTTAACAAGTGTAATTAATAATCCTAGTAAGCCCTTTAATTCACTAGACTCTTTGTCCTTTGCACAATATATCTCACCTTCTCCCTATTACTTTATTAAATACAAGTAATCACATCAAGAGAAAAATTTTGACATCATGATTTGTGAAATATTTTTTTTTAAATTATAGTCCGAGAATAAAAAAAAAAGTTATGATGCTAATATTTATATTTTAAATTTATTAGATATTATTTTTAAATTTAATTATATAAATTAATTGATTTAAATTTTGAATTTTAACACTCAATACCTTTTTACTGTGAAAAGATGTTTAAAAATAATAACGCGTTCGTACACGCACAAATATAGCAAACATAGAATAAGAATATTAAAAGTCGACCTTTCAGACCAAAAATTATTATCTATACCTGATCTCATTAAACAGTATCTTTTTAAGTTATGAACTATTTCCTCATCATAAGTTTTAAATGCTATAGGAATAAACTGGATTTTGTAATTAAGGGTATTAACCGTAGTTAGGAAATTTAATGGTTAAAAAAATAAGAAATCGATTAATGTTAAATATTTTTTATATAAAATAAACTGCAATTTAAAAATAAATGAACAAGAACTTTGTTTTTTTTGTAAAAAATAACTTTCAAAAAATGATTTCTGCAAAATGTTTATATTTTTTGAATTGGAATTGATTTTTTATTGTTTGGATGAATTAATAAAAAATATTTTTTATTGTTTGGTTGTTTTTTGAAAAATCTGTTTTTTTCAAATAATATTAATATAACTATTAAAATATTAAAAGTTATTTATTATTAAAGTATATTAAAATTATTAATATTAAAAAATAATTATATTTTAATAATAATATTTAATATTAAACTATTATGTTAATATAAAAAATACTTAAACTAAAACTATTATTATTCTTTATACTATTTATTATTATATTATAATATATTTATTAATATATTATATTAATAGTATATTATTTATTAATATATTATTAAAATATTAATTAACATAATAATATTTATTAACATATTATTTATTAATATAAAATTATTTATAAGTAAAGTTATGCTAAAAAACATTAATAAATAGTTTTACTGTAGTTCTTTTTCATAAAATGTCTTCTCTTTTTTAAATTCGCATAATAATTTTAAAAAAAATGATCTTAGGTTTCATTTACTAGCATGTCATTTTTCGTTGACCAATTAATTTTTTATTAAACAAACACTTAAAAATATAAAAATAATTTTTCGTGAAGAAATGGAGACTTTGATACTGAAATATTGATTAATGTTCAATATTGACATTGAGGACAAAATATAAGTATCAATATATCATTAAAACCTCCTTTAGTGAATTTGATATTATCATCAATTGACAATAGTTTAATTGAAAATCATAAAATTATCAAGAAAAATAATATAACATATACAAAATTAAGTACATTTATTTATTTTTAGATTTTTTCATATAACTATATTTTTATTTAAAAATTACAAAAAAAATATTTATGTAATTTTTTTTCCAAAACTTTTCTTATTAAAGAAAAAACACTAACATAACGAGTGTGCTCAATTTTAAATTAAAATGAGCAATGACCAAGGACTAAGGAGTAGAAAATCATTGTTAGATTTCTCCTCCCCACATGGAAAAAGAAAATAGAGTTGGCGTTATTTATATATTTGGCTAAGATTTAAAGGTTTTTTCATCGATTACTTAATTTACGGCAAAACATTTTACTATAATTTTTTTTATTACAAAATTACCAACTTTTTGAGTGTTTTTTTTTTCTTATAATTGTTACCTGGTTTACATTTAGGGTTGGTATCGGATCGGGTTCGAAGCGGGTTTTACTCGTTCCGAACTCGACTCTATCCGAAAATTTTTTTGTTTTTTATACCCGAACTCGACTCCAACCAGATACTATATAAATCGTACCTGATTCATCAAATTAATAAAATATTATTTTTTAAATATAAATATTTAAAAATATCATTATCTAAATATATATATAAATAAAAAATTAAATAATTAATTAAAAAATAATTTTTTATATAATATCGGGTTGGGTAGGATTTACCTAAAACTCGAACCCGATCCGATCACGATTATTTCTTAACCATAATTGACCCGACCCGAAACTCAAATTAAAAAAAAAAAATTGATCTCATAGGGTCAGGTCGGATTGAAACCCATCGAAAACAGATTGAATTATCGACCCTATTTACATCTAACCAAAATTGTCACTTCCAACAAATTTACCTTTGGATCTACAAAAACAAGTTTTACCGTTATGCAGTTAAAATAATTAAATTAAAGTATGATATGAATTTGAAAGTATTAAATTTGATTATTAAATTGGTTGATGTTAGTCCTCAATTTTTTAGTTTAATAGTTAACAAATTTTTAAGAGAACATAGAGATGTTGGTCTCAAACTTGGACCTCCTTCTTCTTCTTTCATGAATTATGCCCATTTTATGTTTTAAAAAGAATTGTTGATGCTATATCTGTTATTCATCCCATGAGCAGTAAAAATTTCTTTCGTTAAGGGTTTTTTTTTTTTTTTTGTGTTCTATGTTATTATGCACAGAAATTGGAATTGTAAAGGCTCAATAGACTTATCGTGAAGTTAATTTTGTGTGAATTTAATAATTTCTCATTTCGAAATTTTGCGAGAATTTTTAATTTCACTTAATGTCATTCGGAGTTCATTAAAATAATGCTATTTTTTATGTTCACTTGTTTAAATTAATTTGATTATAAAATTATTCTACTCTCTTATACAAAAAAAAAAAATAAAATCAAGATATCAAAATTGTTTGTGTACTATGAAACGCAAAGAATTGTAAGTCATATTTAATATATAATATTATAATAAGATATAATAAGATGATATTATAAATATAATTAGATTAAATAATATAATTTTATTTTGTGTTTAATATATGTAAAGATTATGATAAGATAATTTATTTATTTATCAAAATTATCATTTTTCAAAATTTATATAATTTAAATTATTGATATAAATTTTAAGTATATAATTTAATATTAAATTTAATCTCATAGATTAAAAATAATCTTTTTCACTTTAAAATGATTGAATAATTTTGCGCAAAGAGAATATTAATATTTTTTATAATTTTTATCCTTCTTTTTAGATATAAATAAAAAATGATATAAAATAATAATCATTATATTTTATCAATAATCTTATGCATTAAACATGATTGTAATACTTTTGTGATTGAAAACAGTTTTAATTAAAAAGGGCATTTAAAAAGAATGGTAACAAAAATATAATAAAAAATTTTAAGTATTTATTATTGCTGTAAAGAAATGTTGTGATTGGTGGAAATATTTAAAAAATTATATAAAATAATAAAATATTAAAAATATAAAGTAATATACTGATTTTTTATCTCAAAAAGTATTTAAAATTTCACCGCAAAAATACTTTTTTGAATAGATTTTTGGTTCGGATTGCAAAACCAAAATTTTAAATTAAAAACCTTTTTTTTTATTTTTTATTACTTAACATTGAAGTTGGATCAAAACAAAATTTGAACATAAATATTACTTTCAACGCCAATGTTAAATTATGCTTTTGTAATGCTAAAAGAAGTTGATAATTAAATTTTTTAAAATTTTTTTATAAGTTTAATAAATGATGTGTTCTGTTAAAAAAAAATATGAATTTTTTATAGTATTGAGAGATGAAAGATTTTGAATCCGGGTATTAAAATTTTTTAAAAGAGAAAAACTTGTAATATTTTGAAGTAACATTGATGATTGAACACCTACGAGTGAAAGCCCAAAAAAAGGCCCAACAAGTATTAAATAAAGGTGGGATGTATGGGCCATATTAAACATGTTTTAATATGTCATATGCCCGATGCAGAGAAAAGACAAAAAGTTTGAGGATTTGTTGTTGGACCCATTCAAAATTTATATTAATATCCATCCAATCTTAACCGTTTAAAAAGCGGTTTTTTAACACTTGAATTTTGAAATTCGAATTCTTAATCGTTTGATGATCCGCCCTTTGCTCTTTTTAGGTGTGGCGCGTTGGTCCCACTTCCAGCTGCCTCGGCCTTGCTTATCATCTTACTTAATTCGCACCCCACTCTCAATGCTGCTCACAAATCTTACTCTCCACGTCTATCTTTAAAGTGTCCTTAGGGCAGCGGTTTTTATAACTTAGCAAATAGAAAAAGGACACGTCAGATGACGGCTGAAAGTGACAAGTGTCGCTGAAATAAAGCGAGTAGAAAACAGTTGGGATGACAGAGGAATAGGAGAACTGTGATTTTTTCGAAAATTTATTTATTTTTTATCCTTAAATTTTCCCGCCCGAAAACCAGAGTCAAAAGGACAGCAGTGAATCATCATAACATTAAAAAAAAGGAAAAACAAATCCTTATAAAATTCGAACACAAGTTCTGAATTTGTTTGTGCGTTAAAAAAGCAAGAATTTTTGTTTGAGAAAAATCCTACAAAGACAAAACAACAATCATGGAGGAGCCTGTCAAAGAACAACAACCTCCTGCTCAAAATTCTGGTTCATTTCTGCCTCAATTTCTCTATGTTTCCCTTGCTTTTAAAGGTGGTTAATTTTGGGTTTTAAATTTTTTTTTTTGGGAATGTTTTCAGGGAGTGCAGGGAAGTCGAAGTTACGTTATCCACTTCGATCGTCGATAAAACCAAAGGAAGAGAAGCCACGAGTGGGTGATTTATCCAGTTCTTCTTCATCCAGAAGGTATTCATATTCTATACTTTGCAGATCAGTTTTTGTCTCTGTAGAATTTAATTTATGTTTTTTCAGATTTAATGTGACATACTAAAATATGATACTAAGGTAAAAAATTATACACAGGAAATGGGTAGGAGCGGAATAATTGAAAGAGTTTGAAAATTTTTGAAAGATTTTTAAATTGATAGATTAAAAGATTTTGTTATATAAATTAAGCGAGTAAAATTTCAAAAAGTTTTGATATAATTTTTAAATAAGTATTTTTATTAAAAATCTTGATAGAATTTTTACTTTGAACAAGTATAATTAAATTTGAATTGTAATGATATTTTTAATTTTTTTATATATTATTAATATTCTCAGTTAATTTTATCAATTTATTTGTTTGAATTTTTTTATTAATATTTTTATTAGTAAAAAATTTTATAAATTCCACTTAAAAAATTTTATAAATTCTACACACACTTCCCTGTTAATAATTAGTCCATTGCCTTTCTGGAAAATAATAGCATGTGAAAAGGATTTCATTTAATCATCCATCTATCCACTATCTTCCCAATTTTCTTCATCTCAATGGCACAATTCTATGTGGTTGCGCTCTTAGTTAATAATTTATAATTTCCTAGCTGCTTTCTTATTGGTATGACCTTTTAGGTGCTAAATAATTTTGGGGTTTTTTTTTTTTTTTTTGGTCTTCTTAGGGGGAGAGCAACCCCGAGTGTAAGCAAGAGTGTGGGTGTTCTTGATCTTTCCAAGGAGAAGTCTGCCAAGCCACCCAGAAGGCTATCTATTCCAACCAAATCAACTCTGGCTCCATCTCCAAAATTTGTTGGAACAATCACTCCTATATCTGAGGCTAGAGCTAAGAAACCTGCAAATGGTCAAGGGAAAAGTGACACACCTCTTTCTGATGCCTCTAGATCAGCAACTCGAAGGAGGTTCAATGTGCTGTCATCAGCTTCATACTGGCTGTCCCAGATTAAGCTCTCTGAGTCATCTTCTAAGCACTCAGTCTCACTTGGGTTTTTCAAACTTGGCTTGGAAGCGGGATGTGAGGTATTGTAATTCATTTGTTTATCCATTTCACTTTGCAGGCTTTTGCTCTGAATTGGGTTTATTGCATATCTGCATCAAAAGTTCTCGCAATCATCGCAAATTATTGCATCATCCTTTGTATTTAGCACTTTCATTTCCTTTGCGATTCAATTATCCTTCTTTTTTTTTTTTTTGGGCTTTTGCTATATATCATCTTTTTAATTATATTTTTAAGCCTGCATCCCTTGTTATATAAGTCATAGTGGTTTATGCAGTTTAGTATATTGGATTTATTTTTGCCTATCCTGAGATACAATGCAAGTTCTTGGTATTGAGTTCTAACTTATCTCTGTTTTTGGTCTAATCTCATTATGACTCCAAATTCAGCCTCTTAAGAAAATGCATGATGAGCTTAAATCCTACATACGTCGCCATAATCTTAGTGAAAATGGGGAAGCTATAAAGGAACTACTTGAAAGCTACAATGTTTCAGAAAATTCAGATCAACCACAGGTGTCTGAAAACTGTTCTCAAGTGCCTGAGGAGGGGACTCGGTCATCTGATGATGAGGTTCACAGCGTTTCTTCTGCGGTGGGATTTAGGAAACTGAAACCCAAGTCCTTGAATACTGATGCTGCTCAAGTATCATCAGTGGCTGAATCAGCTAAAGAGGCTACTCTAAAGAATAATCCTGCAACCAGGAATAGGGTTTTGAATAGAAACGGTTCAAATTCAAGGTCTGTTTCGGAGACTAGGAGTCGTATGTTACAGAAAACTCAGAAGACAACCAAGCCAGAGGATGTTAAAGGAAAGGACAAGACTAAGAGATTGGGAACCGAATCGACTAATGAAGAAGGCAAGTTTGTAGATAAATTTTAGGTTCAGCATCTGTTCCGTACCTTGGATGCGCATGGTTTATGCATTTGTAATTTTATTTACAGGTCAAATTAGCCCTACAGCTGCAGTTGAGACTGTCGACGGGGACAAAGAAAATATGGTAAAAGTTCTTATCCTCAACTGACTAATATATCTACTTATTACCCTACATTCTTTAATGCTGTTTAATGTTATAACCCCGAATTTGCAAGGTTTCAACAAGTTTGGTAGAGCAAAGTTGATGCCTGATTTCTACCTCCCTACGCCACTGACTATTCATTGATAAAGTTTATATTAATTGACACAATCTATTTAAAATTCTCGCCATCTTCCTTTACAGGATGGCCCTTTGACTGAAGAAATCAACCTGAGTGGAGTGATGTAGGAGGTGTTCTGCACGAAATATGGTGAACCATATTATTTTAATACTCATTGGGTCGTTTGTTGTCTGTTTTGGTTTGTTTGTATAGGGGTTATGAAGTGTTCCATTCTGGTGTAAGTCAAGACCTTTTGTTTTTTTCTCTTGGGTCGTTGCTATGTTTTTGTATGGTATATACAGCCACTTAGATACAAATTGTATCAATCTTCAACTTACTTGTGTTTTAGTATTAATGTTATCTTTTCAAGGATATGATTTACACAAAGCTTGTTCTGATTTGAATCTTTTACACCAATTCAGGAATCTGTAAGCTGAATCCATTCAAGGCAAGTCAGAATTAATTTTCATGATCAATAGGCAAGCATCAGCACCAAGTCCCAAGGGGACAAAAAGCAGACAGAAGATCAGTCCTACAAATTAACCTAAAAATTCAACGTTGTAGACAAACAAAAAAGAGGAAAGAAACCCATTAGGCTATAACCATTAGAGATTTTCTTTTTAGCACAAATTCACTCCAAAATTTACAAGAAATGAATAACCAAAAGCGATAACATAAAAGACAACCCAGAAAAAAGAATTGGGTATCCCCAAAACTTCAAAAATCAAAAAGGAGAAATAAATAGAAAACAACAAAAAACGAAGTGGGCAAATTTAAAAATAGCCTGAAATTCAGTCGGAGTGAAAGCTATCATCGTCGCTGTAATCAGAGAGAGGATGATGGGGAGGATTAAAGCAAAGGTAGAGCCATATAGAGTTAGCAAGGCGGCAGAGATGATGGAGAGGAAGGCAGAAGAGGAGATGCAAGACTTGATCGCTGCTTAAGCGCTCTGGATTACAGGCTATGTATTGGCATACGTTTGCCGACACGTTGGCTATTGTCATCACCACCGAGCTGTTTAACACCATCTTATTTTCTCTGTTTCTTTTTTTCTGTCTGTCTTTTTTGCTATCTTGTCTTTGAGCCTGTGTGATAATGTTCTTTCTCTGGCCTTATTATGTCTTGTTTACATTTTTCTTAAGAGACTGAAACTACGTCGTATCGCTTTCATCCGTTGTATTATAACTACGGGCTGAAAACCCTGTGGAAAAAATAGCGACTTCTTTGTCGATGTTTGATGTGCAAACTATTAAAGCTTGACTTTGGTTAACATTTCACATCGTCTCGCGCTTGGCCTTTCTGTGTTTGAAAATGATAAAGTTGGGACTTGAATTCGAAATTTAATTAAAGTAATTAATGTCATTATTTTTAAGAAGTAATATAATATTAAACAAGTTTAAAACTTCAATCTCTAAATTTTTTTGTTTATTCTAAACTTTGACCTCTTTTGTACTTTAAAAAAAATTGAAATTGGCAAACATTTATTTGATGTCTGATTGTAATTTTTCCCTTGTCCAGGATGGGAACAAGCTATTTTATTTACTCATTTTCAAAACTAATATCAGCTGCAATTCCTTAAGATATGATTTTATGGAATTCTTAGCAGACTAAGGTCCCTCGAAATGATTCAATAGATTGCTTTTGAGCTTTTCTTTCAATGCACTTGAGAAAGTTGAGGGAGCGGGAATTGAACCTTAAAACCTCAACCTAATCCCCGGATTGATTAGGAAGATTTCTTCCTAATCGAAATCCCCAGAGTGAAAAGGGTGGTTTCATCTAGATAGCAGAAAATAATCCTGCCTCATTGTCAATTTGTCATGCATGAAATTCCTCGTAAGAATGAAAAAAGTTGCATTAACACTGAAACACACTGCATGTGGAAAGAGTTGCAGATGATCATATCATGAAATCTATCATAAAAAAGATCATCTTTGAATTACAAGCATAAGACTAGGTATTATTTCCACCACGGATGAGAGAGTAAAAGCAGAAACTATTTGTCAAATGTAAAATCCTAACATCAATTTTAGGCAGCAGCATGACATATGCACCACGTAAAGTACAAGTAGTTGCTTTACCTCCCATGTACTCATTTACCATGAGTGTATGTAAGAAAAGGAATATGCACCGCTCATACTTTTTCTTTGTGGTGCTTCTCTCCAAAAAAAAAAAAAAGCAAAAACATAAAGGTTGAACAATTCTGTTTGGGATGAAATCAACCAGAGATTTATATTGAAGCAAAAAGTTCATAATTAATGGTTAATGCAGATATAAAATGCTATTTTACAAAAGCTTAAGACACACAAAGCAAAAAGTCTTAGCATGATGTAGATCAAATAGCCCCAACATCCATTTATAAAGTGAACAAGTATGAGAATACAGGATAAAGTTGATGGAGTCCTCACAGAAAGACTCTGAGTGGGCAATGTTACCATGATATCAAACCTTAAAAACCCACTGTCCCACTACTGCATGGAGTTAATCTGCTGTCCAGCTCTGCTCCACAATCTCCCTTACTCTTCGGTTGTACTCACGCTTGTTCTCACTAAACATCCTAGCAGCTTCTGAGTTTGCAGGCGAGTTAGGGTTGGGATCACAGAGCAATGACTGCAACAATGGCATGATAGTTAAAATCACCATGTAGTCACAAAAAGACACAAAGACAACTTAATTTACCTATTTAAATGAGTGTAAATGAAAATTAAAGACCCATTAGTTTGTTCTAAACTTATGTAGAACCACGCTATAAGAAAATATTGAAGCTCTAATTTAAGATCACCAGTTAAAACAATCATTTGTACAAATAACAAAAAATGATATCTATCAAAACAAAGATAATCTTGGCTGAAAGAAAAGAATTGTAGGGGAAAATAAAGAAAGAAAATGCAAAGTGCAAATTACTTTTGCTGCATCAAAATGAACAACAATTTAAATCCTCAAGATAGGGCAAGTTTGAGAGTTGAGATATACTAATCCAATCCATCATCAATTGCATGTGCTGTATGTGTCACAATATTGATTTGCCGGGAAAACCTTTCTTTCTGTCACACCAGAACTTTGCAAATCACCATTTTCCTCCAAAGTGACCTCTTGAACAAAACCAAAAATCACAAACTTGGTTTCTACTATTCCTTTTCTTTCTCTCACATGGGTCTTGGATATTAATTTTCATAAAAATGTTAAATGAACAGCTGAATGCTTCAAACAGCTCTGAAGAATCTAATATAGTTACACAGCATAGGTTTCAGTAAAAAATAAATAAACGACATAGGAATTGAGTGCAGGAGCAAACCTGAAAATATATTTGCAATCGATGAGGCATTTGGGGAACCAAAACCAGGGTGTTTAGGAGCATGGTTAAACAAATTTTATACGTGTTTTATTTGGAACATCTTTTTCTATCACAAAACTGCCTTTTATTTCATCGGTTTAATACACATATTATTATTAAGCTAATTTATTGTTTTGACAAAATCAATAGAAAACTTTAATTGTACAAGAAAACTCATTCTGAGTTTGTTTCTAACTGACTTCATAAATTTCATGGATCATGATTTGATTCTTAATCTTCTAAATTTTTTCCCACCTAAAAACATGGACATATGAAAATAAATCATTTAGCTTTGTAAATGAATTGCATCAAAGTTTCTTCATCTTATCAAAAGTAGAAATTCAGGGAAGGTGGCAAACTAGCAGGCTTCTGCTTGGAATCAGTTTTTTGTTTTATAAATGATATATGCAGCAAAAGTTCTTCCATCAACATTCTCACAATAATAGACACACAACAATAATATCCATAAAGCAAATAGGTTTTCGACTATACCTGGATGGATGTGAGAATAGCAGCTACATCATATATAGGACTCCACTGGTTCTGTAAAATGTCCAAACAAATACTTCCATCTGCATAAACTGAAAAAGTTCAAAAGGTTCAAGTCAGAAACCATGGATGGCACATACAGATTGTTACATAAGACTAACATTACAATTATGCTAACTAGCACTTACTATTTGGATGAAACATTCGGGAAACAAATCTCACTGTTGGAGGTTTGTTTGGATAATCCTCAGTGAATTGAAGAGTCAACTTGAACGTACCTGAAGAACTCAGAAAGATATTTCATTTCATGTAGGTCCAAAGAGTGTAAAAATTACATTAGGATGATTAAACACTTAAGATGCCTTCCACCTTTCCACTAACCATCACCAATTGCTGAAACTATTATGTGATCCCTTATATTTTCACCTCAATGGAAGACAGTGAACGAAAAATTAACAAGGAATTGATTTTTCAGCTAAAATTATCCTTTTTTCCTTATCAAACTACTGTTTCTATTTCATATCAAGACTAGTTAGTACTGACAGAGAGTGCCCCCTTACAAGCACTCTTATAAACATGACAGAAACAGCATTCAAGATACAAAAGTAATCATGAACAAATGTCCCGTATCCATACATTCATCACTACAAAAGAATGACACTGCATATTCTGAATAAAAACCTACCAAGAAACTTGCAATAAACAAACTCTTTAGCCATGTTAACAATGACTTAGCAGTTTACCACTAGGATTGAATGCCGTCTAGACCACAACATATGCTTAAAATAGCTGATTGGTCTCAAAGAAGCATGCATTGGAAAGCTATGGCAATGGCATAGATACATTACTGCTAATGGTTCGAAGGCTTACACTTGGGAAGCACAAAAAAGAAAAGAAAAGTAAAATCAAAATCAAAATCAAAATCACCACATAGAAACTAGCTATGTTGCTCCACTCTTTGTTTTTCCTATAATACACAAGTCAATACACATATTAGACTCCTCCCTATTACTGTTGGACAGATATCCTCATCTCACAGTTGTACCAAGTCAGAGCATCATAGGCCTAGGTACCAACCACAGCCCAAAAAAAAAAAAAAAAAAACTACATCATTTTGCATCAGAATCCATTTCTGTAATAAGAATCAAGAAATGCTATAATGTCACAATGGAAAATGAGGATAAGATTGTTGAAACCCATATATCGCATCAATAAAGGAAAAAACCCAAAATGAAATTGTCTAAAGGGATATGTGTAACAAACAATATAAGATCTTATATATACATCCATCTGAGGCAATTGAGAGGTAAAAAACACAGCACATCCTCCTTAAGTAAGAGCTTGGGAACGAGGTTACTCACCTCCATCCCATGGAGTATCATCTGGACTGCAATCCAAATCAGACAAGAAAGCAGAATAGCTTATTGAACCATACTTAATATTCTGATAAATAAAAAGAGGTAAAATAAATATCCTAAACAAACTTGAAAATAAAGAAAAAAGTCTTTTTTGTTCCAAACTTACCCGAATATAACAGCATTCCAAAGCATTATATTGTTGTCTTGAGGTGCCCCACTGATACCTGCAGGCGGGTCTTGTTGCAACCTCTTAAAATCTCTCATTAGCCTCTTCCTTGCAGGAGTTGACATTGTCACCAACTACAACAAAAAAAAAGAAGAAAAAAGAAAAAATTCAAGCAATGAGCTTCCACCACCCAATTGATTATTATCTTCATCTCCTTTAATAACAACCATTGAAATTATCAGGAAACAAATATAGCTGCTAATTTAACAATAAAACAAAAAGAAGCTTGCCCTTCTTTCATTTTTCAGCTAACTCAACTTCTAATTGAAGCTTATCAAGAATCTTGATCGTTTTTCTCTATATTTCAAGTTTTCGGCTTAAAATAAAGAGACCCTTTTCTCAATTCAATCCAATACTAAAAATTTCATCAAAAACAGGAGCAAGAAATTCATGGTTTACATCCAAACAAACAATCCGAAAGCTTAGAACTTTGCCACCTCAACAAACATAAAATTCAGATCTTTTCCTCTATTTTACACCTGGATCCAGTGAAATAACAACTTATACAAAGTTCATAAAAAAAACCTTCACAATAATAAAGAAAAATTTACCTGGAGGTTAATGCTAAACGAGGAGATAAGCAATCAGAAAAATAGAGGGAGTTAGGGTTTTAATTGAAGCTGTAAATGATCTATATATATATATATATATAAAGATGGAGAAAAAAATGGAGGAAGATGATGATTGGAGAGGCAAAAAAGGAGAAGAGAAAGTATGAGAAAGAATCCGCAGAGAAGGAAATCAATTGAAAATGGAGTTTCCTCGGGTTATTTTGGCTGCTTCTGGTGAGTCTCGTCCCTGTCCCCAGTCCACACGCTTCCGTCTCTATCTGTATTTTTATACGTATACGTGTATTTGACCATTAAGGAATCATATACGTAGGTTTTATTAAAAGCCTCGAAAGCGTTCTAATCTGAATAATAATGAGATTAAAGATATAACTCAATCTGCTGAACTTATATAAAACCAATTTTAATTGATGGTTTTATTTTTATATTATTAATTTATTATATGAATATTTATATAAATTAAAAAGAGATAAAATTATAAATTTATTAAAAAATATTATTTTAATTAAAGTTTAAAAATCATGAATATGATTTATGTATTTTTAATAAAAAATTTATCAAATAATAAATAAAATAATTATTTTATTTTTATTAATAAAATTATTCATTATTTCAAATTTTATTCATTGGTTTTTTTTTAATAAAGTATCTAATAACCTATATTCCATATATATTTTTAAAAAATTATTACCATTCAAAATTTTAATTAATTTAATAATACAAATTTATCTCCATAATGCACATTTATGTTCAAATTTTAATTGATTTAATAATGCACTTTTTTATTAATAGCCTTTATTCCCTATTTTAAAAATTACAGGTCTTTCCATTTCAAATAATAATAATAATATAATAAATAAATAAATAAAGGCTATTGATGCAGTGGGCTTATTCATGCAAAACCATGAAATTGCCATCCATGTTGGCAAGGAAAAGATACAGTGAGATTCAAATTGCCATTCTCTAAATAAAATTAAAATTAAAATTTTTTTTTTTATCTATTGGATAGTAGATAAGAAATGGGATGGTTGAAAACTTAATTTCATCTTACAAGATATATGATTATTTAATAAAGTTTATTTGTATGGACATTTAGGTGAACAATCTATTTATTAGACACAAGAAATTTGATAAGTAAGACAATTCTTATTTTTAAGTTATTTATTATTTAAATTAAATTAAAATATTTAAAATAATTATTAATTATATAAATCTCTATTATATATTTTAAATCAAGTGTTCATCTAACTTTATAATTGACAAATTAAAGAATCTAAAAAGATTAATATTCTAAATTTTTTAAAAAATGAAGAATCAAATTCAAGATTAAATTACGAAATAAAAATTTTAAATTTTAAAATTTCAAAAAAATATTTTTATTTTAATAAATTTCCTCATAATCTTTTATTTTTAAACTTCTTTAATATTTGAAATCATAATATATCACTTATTTATTTTTTAAATTTAAAATATATTTATTAATTTAAATTAAATTTATTTTAAAGCTTACTTTTTTAAAATTATAAAAAAATAAAAAATCATGTGCATCACACCTGCTAAAAAAAAAAAAGCTAGTTTAACTTAAATATATTTTGACATTTGAAGCACTTATTATCACGGATGTAACTACATAAAAAAAGATTGCATATGTATATATATAAAATCAAACAAGGAAAATAATAGGAAAAGGAAAAAAAAATTACAATATAGCGAGACTTGTGTGAGCTTCGTGGCTTAGTTTTAAGTTTCATTTGGATAAATAATGAATTTGATTATGATGAGATTAAAAATAATAATAAAAATTATTGTAATTTCGATTGAAAAAATTTTTAATGAAAAATATTATGTTGATTTAATTTTATTAAAATTAATATTTGAATTCAACTGATGATACGATGAGAATGTGATTAAATTTAATCGTAAACTTAGTCAATTGTGACATTTTCTTTCGGCAGTTGGATAATTAGTAGGTTGTGAATCATGATCAAACTAAATTTGCGGAAAAACCAAATTTGGTCAAATTTCTATGCCTCCTGTCCTTGTCTCTAAGGGAAAATTTTCTTTAACTTCACATTATTACATGCCAATTAAGACTAATGAACATAATTACAAAATATTCAAAAATTAAAAAACAATCAATTGCTGTGATTTCTAGTATCACCAGGAGACGTGGATGCACTCTTGGGCGTTGAAAATGGCAAAGAAGGTGGTGAAAACATCGAACTCCCCGGCTGTGAAGTAGAGGAAGGAGATTTGTTCAAGAAGCTTGAGGCACAGCCATTCCCTTTCACTGTTTGTGAGTAACTAGAAGTGATTGGAAGTGGCTGCTCTCCCCACTTCAAATTTTGTCCCAAACTCTCTCTACCTGGCTGAGTTGCACCACCATTATTGCCAGTGCCAATGATTGATGTCAGAGCCACTGCTAAAGCAGATTGGAAATTGGGGTCTGCTGTGATTGCTTTGGTTGCAGCAGCAATAGTATCGGGTAGAGGCTGTTGAGGAAGATTTAGATTATTCTTTTGCATGAAAGATTGATAAATGCTATTCTCCACAGTCTGTGGTCTTCCAATGTTCAGAGCTCCGATTTGGTTTTTCATGTAGGGTTGAGTACTATTGCCATAGCTAAGGAGCCCATTGCCCCAAGACATGGTGTTTGATTCCGAAGAACCAAAGCTGAGACTTGTAGAAGGATATCTTGCGCTTGTGGGATAAGCTGAAGAAAGCCTATTGAAAGGAAATGATGAGGATGAGGATGGTGTCGAAGTAAGGTCAAGAGTGATTGTTGGGTGTGATGAGGCTGCAGACAGTGAAGAGTTGGGCAAGTAGAACATTGATTTTGAGTTATCAGATAGGTAAAAGTTGAGTCCATGGAGATTGGCAGTGGTGGTGTTGGCAATTGATGGAACATTGGAGCTAGGCTGGGAGCTCGATAATGAACCAGACAATAGCATCGAAGCAGCTGCAGAAGTGGTGGAAGCCATTGCTGTGGCTGACATTGGAAGTGGATGATTGTGTGTTCCTTCATAGGTTGTAATTAAAATGGACATGTCCTGAGCATATCTTTGTACCTGAAATTTGAAGCAAATTAACATGTTAATGATCTAAATTTTGGCTGTGATAAAATTAATTGAGCTTAAATTCACTTATTTGAATATATATATGTATGTATATACCTGTTTTCTAACTGGGCATGAAGGTGCAACAGTGCAACGATAATACGCTCGAGGGCAAGGATTTCCTTTAGCAATCTTCTGTCCATATTTCCGCCATTGGCAGCCATCAATCATCTGTACAAGTAAAAAGTCTTCTTATAGTTTTTACTCATTTGAAGCTAAAAAGTAAACAATAAATCTTCATAATATCCAAGTGGACTACAAAAGAATAAATGCACTAAATTGTCAAGGCTAAAACCTGGTTATATATCTCTTCTGTTCATTCAAGTAAGCTTATTTATGTCCAGTTTAGCGAATTTATGGAATTGCCTTCCCATAGTCTTTTTTATTTCTTTTGCTTTCTATTTATTAACTTTTATAAAAAAAAAAAGTAAAAATATGAACCAAACAAAACTTAATGAATTTAAATGACCAGCTAATACTAACCGTAGGAGTGTCGCATCTGGCTCTCACGCAAACCCTTGCTTTCTTAACAGGGTTTTGTTGCAAAGCTTCGTCATCTCCACTTCTCATTGTCTTGAGAACTTTGCTTGGTGGCCAGCTCTCTTCTTCCTTTGGTTCTTGACAACTGTTCGCTGGGCTTGGATTTGGCAAAGCTTCATCATCTAAATCTGACTTAGAAGCTTCAAATTTGTAATCTAGGCCAAGAGATAAGCCTTCTTTCCCTCTCTCATCCTCTTTCCCTTGGCTAGATGTTTTGTTCTTATCATCCTTTTTTGAATCACTTGAAAATCTTCCGAGGGTAAGAGAAACAAGCTCAGGTTCTTCGACGGCTTCTTGGTGGTCATTATTTGCCGTTGTGGCAGTGGAATTCTTTGCATCTTGCCGAACAATGTCATAGAATTGCATTTGTAGGTTGTGATAATCCTTCATTATCCGATTTAAGTACATCTTCAGTCTTTGGTTTTCTTCTCTCACCTCTCCCATCTCAGCTTTGGCAGATTCAAGTTGATCGTCCTATATCCATGACAACATACAAAGAAAACTTAATTAACTAAACAGTCTTCTTCATTGCATATGCTTGTGATAATTAAAATTTTCATTGAACTTTTCCAGGAATAATTCTTTTTTTTTCTTTGCAATTCTGAGGAATATTACACCTTTATTTAAGCTTTTTAGTTTACAAAATGGTAAGAGATAATTGTCCTTGTTCCCATATGCTGTTATATTTCCATAGATGCATGCATGTTTAATGACCAGATCAATCATTTCTTGATCTAGATGCTGTTTAATGAGCTGTTAGTTCGAACCATAATCATAGTTTAAAAGATCCAAAAAAAAAAAGAAAAAGAGAGAAATATTAGTTGATTGAAAAACAAAAGATCCGATTGAATTAATCTAATTAGAGGAGGATTTAGTTGATTAATTAATATTAATAATGAAAGTTTAATACCTTTGTTAAAGATTATCATACCATTAAATTAACCACAATAAAAAATGAAAGTAATCTAACCTGCTCCTTTCGACTTGAAGAAGATGCCATCGAGTCTGGTTCTGTTGAGAATCTTTCTGTGTCAGTTTTTACAGATACCTATTTAATTGTTAAGCATTATTACAAGTTAGTGGAAAAGAAAATGAAGGTTAACTATCAAAAATAAAAAGAACAAATATATAGAACATATAAAACTGAAGTTTTCTTTCATACCCTTTCTCTCCTAGCTACCAACTGTTTTGATCAGTTTTTATGCTGATGAATTGAAAACAGGAAATATTTGTGTAGCAAAATAAGAAAGCTGGAATTCTACAAATTGAAAAATGAATTGGAAAAGTAGTGCTAGGAAAGGATGGCAGATGACTACTAGTCAAGATTCTAGACCCATGTGTTTCGGGAACGTAATTATGGTCAAAATCTTACAAATCAAGTGCTCAAAGACAAAAAATGTTAAGAACCCCACTAGTCAAGTTGGCATGCATGACTTCTAAATATATGTTCATACAGATTTCTATTTACTTAATTGTCTGCAGGAAGAATCTGTCAATTCTTGCTTGTTGGCAACTTGGAAATTGGCCTTATTCCTTTCGGGAGCTACCATTGCTCTATTAATCTAACAAGTCGTTTTCTTATACAATTAATGGAATTCATAACCCATTATAGACGTGGATGTTGATTGGCCAGATAACCTAGTAAAACTTGATGCCATCAGAAATATTAATCCTTTTGGATAATATAGAAAATAATATTGAATTTTTTTTTGGTAAGATATGTAGTTTATCTTAGAATTAAATACGTTGAAATGGATTGATACAAAATACTAGCTATATTAATTTTTTGTTTACTTTTATTTGTCGTCAGTACAAATTTACGGGGTAGAAAACCATATCCATGAAAGACTTTTTTTTTCCAAATAATAATAATAATAATAATAATAATTAGTTCAATTAGTTAAAGTTTATTTTTTTTTTTGATAAAAAAATCTTAGATTCAAGTTTTATCGATGGTTATTTATTGAGATTATCTTAAATACATAAAATCATATGTTTTAAATTATTAGGTACGGTATATCTTACTTTGACTTGAAGATTAAGTAATCTATTTATCCGAATTTTTCATAAAAAAAAAAAAGCATTTGACAGTTGATATGGGAGCTGATCAGAGGGTTTCACTGCACGAGTGTTTTATCACTGGGTGCGGTGGGAGCCCTCCTACCAGGCTCTCAATCGAACTCTTAATTTGTTTACCTGCTTGCTGCTGCTTAACTCCTTTTTTCCAGGTGAAGATGGCTTCATATTATCATTCTCATGATATTGGCTTTTTTCTTCTACCTGAAATAACAGGCAATAAAGGAAATATAGAAAACTTAATTTTGTGTGTAGCAAAACTATAAGAAAAAAAAAAAAAAGATGTCAAATTATGATCTCTAATAATAATCAGAGGAGTTAAATTAAGCTAAAACTCAGTTGAAAAGCTTGGGGAAGAAAATGGTATGATGAGATGAAGAAACATATGTATATATCATCAGACAAATTAAAACATAGAAAAAGCCATGAAACTATTCCAGACCTTAGAAGCAACCTCTTCCCTTCTACCAGCGGTTTCTTTATCCCCAGAAGAATCAACTTTCTTCTCCTTCATGACTGCACCTCCATGATCTGATCTCTTGACCAAATTCTCCTCCATACGGGGTTTTTGTTTGATTTTCTCTCTTGTAATAAATTCTCTGAAACCAAGTTTTCTCTTCTTTTATAGAGAGGCTGCTGTATTTGACACCCCTTCTAATTTTTTTTTCAAAACCAATGGCTTTCATAAATCATATGACATACTGAAATAAACATAATGTCAACAAAACCCCCATCCACTTGCATTAAAAACAAAGAACAAAAAAAATACAGTTATATAATAATTATTTTATTTCTCCCATACGTATTAAACAAAAAAAAATATATAGAAGAATTCAATTTCAACTCTTTTGGATAACATGTCATAGGCGAAGAATGGAGATAGAAAGAGGGGTTTGAGCCGCGAAGCACGGTCCCCACATAATGTCAAATAATGCTACCAATTCCTAGAAGTTTCGTACGTTACAAAAGTCACATGGGGATTGGTTCATGGTCAAAGTTTTTAGCCAATGCCACCCCTATTTTTTGTCACCTCCGGTGACCGGAGCGTTGTTTTTTCCAATCTACCGGCTGGCCTTTAGGGTTTTGATTTTAAGGTTTAAATGGTTGTATCGAGATCAAACATTGGATAAAACAACTATGCTTTCATTTGTCCATGCAGTTGACCTCTATTATTACAAAACCAATTCAATTATAGTGTGTGAATCTAGCTGGTACCTTTTCATACTATCTCTCATTCTCCTTTTTTTTTTTTTTTTTTTTGACCTTTCCAATTTTGGTTTCTATAATGTTGTAAGTCATTGGGTCGTGGTCGGTTAATTACTAGTTTTTTTTCTTTACTTTTAGGGTACATGTGAGGAAAAAATCTAATTGAAGGTTCGGACTTTGGACCTTAATTATCCTTTTTTTTTTTCTAAATCAGATTGGATTTCATAAGAAAATTGAAGGTACAATATGTAAGCGATGGTTCTCAATGATTACCAAAAAAAAAAAAAAAAAAACCCCGTAAGATAATATGAAAGGGAAGCATAAGAAAAACAGGGCGCGGCAGCATATATAAAAGCAAAGCAACAATTTTGCTTAAGCAAACTTAATTTTCAGTGATCATTTCAACTTTTTCTTCTTTAATGGAGAAAGAGAGGGAGGGGAAGTGAGTAAATAAATAAAATCCTCGATGCAAGTTCTCCATTTATTAGAAGATGCAGCCAATTATAATTAATTAATTAATTAACTTTGTAAGCACCAGATTCTGCTGGGAAATTAATTAAACCCTGCTAATAATTAAATATTTATAATACCAACATCGGGATCAAAATCGTTGACCTCTAATAATTCTGAGTAGTGCTTTGTTGAATTTGAGCCGTAAATATCTCTCTAATTTTTTTTTTCTTTTTGAGCTCTCATATAATTATATTAATAAACTTGCAGGATAAGAACCATATAATATACTATAGTAATTAGTCATATGCATCTTAAGGATGATTAATTTAAAACTTTTTTTTATTTCTTTTATTTTTATTTATTTATTTTTGCCTTTCTCTCTCAATATTACAAGCAACAATTGACTTTGCTTAAATCTTTTACGTTGTGTCATTCAAAATCATAAAATTTTCTGAAGTTTTCAAGCTGTACATAATTTTCTACGGTATGGCATATAAATTACGCAAAGTTTCAGTCTCACGATGAGGAGGATAAACAACAATATAACAAAATATAAGAACTTCAATATTATTAATCTTTTTTTTTTTTTATAACATAAGACATTTTTAAAATTAATTTAATAGACTTAATTAATTAGTTAATTAATAAACTTGAAGTCTTAGCAATAAGCCGACCTTTACGACATATATAGGGCTATCTGGAACTGATATATATAAAAGCTTGATAGTTGATATCTTTTACAAATTACATGTTAATATATATAATGAATTAGTCTCTCCTATCACTTTCTTCGCCGGCTCTATTTCAATATTGATTGACTCAAGGATTTTAAGAGTATTTGTTAATTTAATTTCCATGAAACCCAATATATCAAAATTTTTAATTAAAATTCAAATGTAGAAGAGAGTAGAATTACAAATTTGACTGATCTAATTGAGTGCAGCGAAAAATATGTGCACTCGGTTTACTTTGGTGGTAAACTCGGGCTGAAGTATAAACCTGCATATATAAATAAATAAATAAATATAAATATATTCTAACTATTGATTTTAATTAATCTCAAGGATGATAGAGATAAATAAAAAAAATTAATTTAATCTCATTTTTAGGATCTATTAAAATGAATGATTATAAAAAAAAATAAAATTTTTTAATTTTAATACTAATATAAGTTGATCCTTTCTCTTTATATAAATATACAACACACACATACACAAAAAGGATAAATCAAGTAATATTGATGTCACTCTAATTAGTTTTACATCCTTTATATAAATTTCATATATGATTAATATTTGAACGGATCGATCATTAAATTTAACAATATATTTATATCCGATGTGCATATAAAATTTTAAATTAATTCATCATATCGAATAAGATATATTTAACAATACGAAATATATATTTAATTTTTTAAAAATTTAAAAATTAAAACGCTTTGATTTTTGGTGCATGTTAAAATTGTCTTCTAAAGTTTCAACAAAAGCTTCAAGGTTGAGGTGGAAAAATCAAAATATTTTATTTGTACCTATCTACTTCTAATTCAAAATTTTTGACATCATGGCCCCGGTGGGCACCGGCTACTTCATTTTACCCTTGAATTTTTACACATAAATTAAGAAAGTAGAAACAGTTGGTAGCAGCCCTTTTGCATACAAAGAAATTAAGAAAATATAATATGAATGGATGGGAGAAATAATAAAAGGAATTGGATATGAAAGAGTCAGCCCTGCGTCTGCAAAAATATATTAGAACTGTTGCTTTTACAGTAGGCTGTACCAAGAAATTTTAAAGAGATAATTTTCAAGTTTCGACGTTTATGGCATTGACCTTTACATTAATTTTTTGAGACCACTTGCTGAATATGAACTACGTTGAGACCGGAAAAACAAAGAAGTTGAGGGCAATGACCTTTATATTATTTTTTTTTCTTATACAAGTAAAAACTTTCGTGTTCAAGGCATACTTGAGGAAAATGGTTCCCTTCCACATTAGTAGGTTTCCCCCTTTTCCCTGGTTGGAGAGTAAAAATTAAGCATGATGATCACCTGTCTTATAATTAAGCACCGGCATCCACGTGTATGGTGTGTATGTTAGAAAATAAAAATAATATAAACAATTTGACTTTAAAACGTAAAATATTTTTTTAAAGGCAATGATGTTATTAGAATACATAAAGATTCAAAACTCTTCAAACAAAAATGGTAAAATTGATTATGTATAAAGAATTATTTAAAGTTGATGATGAGTCATATCATTTTAGTGAATAACCATGTCATTTTATTTAAATAGTTTTAATTTTTTTTGTTCAAAAATCATTATCAGTTTAAATAGTTATAAACTTTTTTTATATAACAATTTAAATCATGATCTCTATTAAAATTTAATTATTTAAAATATGAATAAAATTAATATAAAAAATTAAATATTTTTATCCAATATGAGTTGCAGAATCTCACATAACATTATAAACTACCAATAATGTAAATAATATATGTATAGATATACATACATAGATATACAAAAAATATAAGTTATGTAGGACATGCAATATATATAGCATACAAAGTTAACATTATGATTTTTTCCTTCAAAAAGATGTATAAATACAATTATATGTAGATATATGCATGATTGTTATGATTATATATACATGCTTGTAATACATACATATACACATACATATATATATATATTTATATATGCATGCTAAATAAGAACATGATCAATGCGTTTGTATCTGCATGCTTGTAAGGATGATTTATGTATATGCATATGCATTCATATATATATATATATATATATATTACTTTTGTTCAAATGCATATATGGAATAGGTTATACATGAATATAGAAAATCGCCCGTGATTCAACAAGTATAATTAAACTATTACATGGAACAAAGAATAGAGATATTAAACAATGCAAGCAACACACACACACACATATATATATACATCGATTTAGTTTAAATTAAGTTTTAACAATCCTAATTAGGTCAATGCTTTGTTCTCTATTCTTGCTTGGGACAGTTTACAGTCATTATC